AAATTAAAAAAATAAAAATGAGCCAAAATTTATACTGTGCAAGAAGGGAACAACAAAAGAAAAAAAAAAAAAAAATTATACATCAATAATAGGAAGATTAAAGCAGCCTATGGTGTAACAATTACTTAGGGATGACATAGGATTATAATATACATGTTGTATGTACAGATATTTAAAGATAATAGTTGAAGTGCATAGAACCATCTAACAAGAATAAAATAATCTACCATCATCATTATGCAAGGTGGTTTATTATTTTTTGCTATATCTCTACTCTATAAAATTGCTTTATCTTTCGAGAAAGAATTTAAAAAAAGGTGGTTTATTATTATTACTATTATTTCAAATTGCGGTGGTGGATTGAGAAATTATTGAACAATCCAAAGGTACTCCAATACAGTACCTCAGTATAATAATGAGTGACTATTTTATAAATGTTTGTTGATAGAGGATACTACAATGTTGGTAGTACTTTTATAATACTTTTCTTTTAGTGAGGATTACAAGTTACAATTTTATTTTAAGATAAATTATACTCTTTCTGTCTCAAAAAAGATGTCATATTTTTTTTTTTGGTCTGTTCCAAAATAGTTATTCACTTTCTTTTTTCAAATAATATATTTTACATCTTTTCATATATGCCCTTGGAATTTAAAACTTCAAACTTGAATATAAGGGTAAATTAGTAACTTCTCAATGAGACAAGGCATGTCCCACATGTTCCTTTAAAAATTCCTACTCCCCAAAAGCGACATCTAAATTAGGACAGAGAGAGTATTAATTATTTCTGAAGTTTGGACAAATTACACATACAGTAAAGTGTTTGGTATTTATTATCTTGACCTCCCTAAGATTTGACGTGTGTGCTTAACAACATTCCCTACCGTTAATGAAAATACAAAAATGACTAAATTGCCCTTTCTTTATGTTAAAATACCTCGATAACCTTATATTTTGACATAAAGTGACAAAAATAATATGAAAAACCCCGCCCCACCCCGCCACATTAGCCCCCGTCCCGACCCATCCCGCTCCGCACAACTTTTTTAAAATTCCAATTTACCTTCAACAAAATCAACATAACTATAATATTTTTCAACCTAATAATTTAATAAAACTTTAGTACAATTATAACAATTTAAAACATATCATTTCAACATGATCAATCAAAACAAATAACATTCTTCCAATAACAACTATGCTGCAAGGAAATAGATCTAGGGTTTTAGAAGTGAATATAATATATATATAGTTATGAAATTTAATAATATTTTATAACATATAAGGGTAGTTTTGTAAAAATATACTATAAACGGGACGGGGAGAGGCGGGATTACCCTCCCCCGGCCCCGCCCCGTCTCCCGTCGGGGTTTCAAATACAATCCTCATTCTCTTCCCATTTACATAAATGAGTTCTCAAACTCGTCATAACAGGAATGAGGTGGAGCGAGGACCCGCTGAGTATGGAGATTTTGCCATCCCTAGCGGCATGGTGTAATTGGGAGGTTATTTGGGAGTTAATTCAAGCTAATAATGGACTTGCAAAGAGGGACCCGATACAGTTGGTCCATTTTATTCTCCATTAATGGAATCTACACATTTTAGAATAAATTGTTCTTAGATAGACACATTGATTGTACTTTCGATGACTTCCAAATGTTAATAATATAACGCGTGTTTGTGTCACAAAAATCAAAATTAAAAGTCACTTCAAACCTTTTGAATTTAGTAGGTGGTTTGAGTTGTGTGTACTCCGATGAACTCAGCAATGAACTCAGCTTGGACTTCTAAATTAAAACGAGTGACATTTTTATGAAGTAGAACAATAATGAAATGATGAAAAAGACTATCAGATAAGAATATGAAGACAAAATTGGGGAAAAAAATAGTATACGAAGACAAAATATCCTTTTACGTTTTTTCCAAAATACAAAGTCAATTGACAGAATACAACATACACATATACATCACATATTATTATTATTATTATTTCAGAATACGTGAATCGACTTCATAATACACGCATTATTCAATTTAGGAATGCGATTCGAAAGCGAAACTTTAAAAATTTACCTCTCAAATTTCTATCAACGCTGTTATGTTCCTGAAAACCACACCACACATTATTAAAAAGCAGACACTATATATATCACCAACCAATTAATGTTGTCTGTATTTTTTTCAAAATGATACCAATTGACATAGTAGTATGTCTTTTAATGTTGTCTGTATAATACCAATGTTCTCCTACTAGTATGTTACACACAACACTTGTTAAAAAGCACACATGACACAATATATACACATCACCGATTGAGGACAATGCTTAGCTACTCACCTGAGTAGGGTGAAACTACTCACTCCTACGTGATTCAATAACAAACTAACACATCACCTTTAATAATAAAATAATTTGCACATTTTTCTGTTTTTTCGGATCAATCATTGAATAAACCGTATATAGTGTTTTTAGGTGTGGATTATCTTATTTTTAAATGTGGTGTGTTATTTTATTATTGAACCATATAAAGGTGAGTAGCTTTACTCTATTCACCAGTGAGTAGCTAAGTATTATCTACCTATTAATGTTGTGTGTGTTGTTTAATAAATGTGATGCCCGATGAATTTGTTGGGAGGAATTAATTTATTGGTGATTCATTCATGGTGTCATATATCACCATTTAATGTTTTTTGTATTGTTTAATAAATGGAACACGTTAAACTTGTTGGGTGAATTTAATAATTAGTTGGTGATTCATTCATGATGTCACACAATTGATGTCACAAAACTTAAAAAAAAAAAAAAAAATTGAGTCAAAATTCTATTTTTTATATGAAAAATTAAAGAATTATTTTGAATCTATTACAAATTAAAAAAAGAATCAAATATATATTATGATGAGAGGATAATATCTAAATCACATAAAGTGAAAGCAGGAGTGAGAACGAATTCAATAGCGAAAGAGTTATAGCAGCAAAATTAAGTTACAAGCCGTGAGAATTTATACATATAATTCTTCTCAGACTTTGCAAAAGTTTGGTACAATAAATTTGTCATGTATATTTGTATACATGCATGTGTGTGTGTGTATATATATATATATGTATATATTCACTTATTTTGTCATAATGGAAATAGGAATCCTAATTTTTTAGGTTTTTGGTAAAACCCTAACATGGTCGTGATGGCTGAACGAAGGGAGAAACAATCCATCTATTCTGAGAAGTCATGAGCTACCGAAGCAAGGAGGAAAGCCCATGATAACGACTAAGGAAAGGCTTGAGAAATGCTAACCTTACGTTAGCAGTGAAGCAGGAGTCAAAAGGAAAGCCTCTCAATTTCCACGTCAGCATACACTAGTGGTACAAATTTTTTTTCTCTTCAAATTAAGTAATAATAAAATAAAATAAACAAACGGGCAAAAATAAATGAAATTTGTTGCTTCTGAGAAGAAGCGAGTGTCAACGACTCAACGTCCATCCTAAACGCCGTCTGCGACCAAAGAAAACACCCTCAAATGTTTTTCAATTTACGGAATTGCCGTTTTGCCCTTCCGCGGACACCGCGTTCCAATAGCGCCCCTGGTTTTTAATCTACACAGTGAGCGTACGCTTGCTCCTTCTCGGAAACCGACTTTCGAACCTAATTTTGGTCTCATAATATAACTTTTCATCGAACACCACCATACTAGTATATATGTGTCTATATAACAAAGATGTAGTGATAGTTATTTCTCAAAAAAAAAAAAATTTAAAAAATTATTTTTAAAGAACTATAGAAGATGATTTTTTTTTTTTTTTTTTTTTTTTAATTGACTTTTTAGAAACGGTCATTCAAATAAATTTTTGTATAGGTTTTAATTTTCAATGCTCAAAATTAAAAATTGTTTTCAAAAAATCGAACCAAACAATCTATTCTTTGATTTTTTTCGTTAAGCATAACAGTTGAATAATTTGTTCTCATGCTCACTTTACTTTGTTTATTAGCTAATTAACTAGGTTGGAATTAAATAGAGTGGTATATTTTAATTTTATTGATTTAACTTGGTAATGGTGTCAGTAATGGCTATTTCTATTTATTTTGTTGTAAAGCGTCTTTTATTTTTATTTTTATTTTTTTGTGGATTAAGTTTAGATCTCGGATCGGATTTGATTCTAATTGAATCTAATAACTAGAATATGAATTGAATATTTAATTCCATAATCTGTTAATAATCCAAATGTGATGTGAATTATGATCAGAGTTAATAATTTGATCCAATAAAAATATAATATAAAAAATCAACACTCTCTCTCTCTCTCTCTCTCTCTCTCTATATATATATATATATATATATATACTTGTCATTCAACTGGTATGTTGTTAAAAAAACTAATATTTTTTTTTTCTTTTCTTACATAGAGTTTTATCATGTATGATATTACAAATATTAAGCATATAAATTTTTTTTCATTTTTCAAAAATCATTTTCTTCCTCATTTTTAAATTTTTTTTTTGGCTCTTCATTGTATTTTTCTTTGATAGAGAATCAAATATACATGGTCAGATTATTGGATCGAATATACAATAAATTATTAAATTGGATATGAATTTACTAACAAATAATCAAACAGTACTTATCGAATTGAATTATTCATATTACTTATTAAATTCGGGTCAAATTTTGCCTTATCTGATCCAAAATCGATTCGGTGTTAATATTGACCCGAAGTAAAAATCTAAATAAAGCACAGCAAACAAGAAAAAAAAAATGCACCACAGAATGATACATTTTTCATTCTAAGTAGTCAGTTTTTACTAAAAGAGAATATTTTTTTTTCGGAAGGTACTAAAAGAGAATATTCTTCAGCAGTAAAACTCAGGTGGGCATGTTGATAGTGGATTAAATTAAAATGTCCCGTAATGGCAATGATGTAATTTAATGAAGACTCAGGGGTGTTTGTTGCTCCGTCAGCACTATAAAATTATCACACGACATGCTACTGGAATTCTCATTTCGGCAAGAAGAGAACGGTTACTCTCTCTTTCTCTCTCTTCTCTCATCTCCGAAGAAAAAAATCAAAAGTAATCGAAATCCGAGCTGAGGGCTTGCGAATACTAGGTATGTGAAAACCCTTTTGTTTTGATTCTGTTTTGCTTACGATTATCTATTCTATTTCAATATTTGTGCTGTTCTGTGCCATGCTGATTGTTCTCTAGATTTTGGGCACCTATTGTTGTTTTGGCTGATTTATGGTTTGGATTGGATTTAAGATTTAATTACAACGTTGTTCCTGATAAGTTATGTTAGGGTTAATGTTAGAACTGTAAAATAGTGGCTCTAGAATTGGTGGATTTGATGAAGTTTTGATTTTGAAATGGGCTTTTTGTATAATTTGGAATTTGATGGAATTCAAATGAAATTGGATTTGAAGGGATTTAAGGGAAAAGTTACTGTTTTGATACCCAACTCAACTCTTCCCGTGCCCTCCTCAAGCTTAGTCTCTCTCTATCCTCTCCTTGCTCTGGTCCATCTTCCAGTTCCCCCATATGCCTCCTCTACTCTCATCTCACTTATATGTGTGTGTACACACATATACATATTGACCTTTTTGAGGTCAATACAAATTGTACAATCTCTTTCCATACCACACATACACAATCAGACACGTGTTTATAGGTCTCTCCGTTTCTAATTAAACATAATATCACTTCCTTTTTTAATTTCTTAATTTCATTCCTGTATGTCTTTTACGAAAAGGAAAAAAAAAAAAAAAAAAAAAAAAAAAAAAAAAAAAAAAAAGAAAAGAAAAGAAAAGAAAAGTAATTTTGATTACACTTAGATTTCCCAAGCATGTAAAATCTCATATTCAAAATTTTAGTTCTGCATCTTAGATTTTTTACCCCTAATCTGAAACAGACAATAAATTTCTTTGTTGTACTGTTTCCAATAAATTTTCTTAATTTGGGTGAGTTTAATGTTAATTATCACCTACCCAAGAAAAGAAAGTTACAAATTTGTTTTTTTCCGACTGTTTTGGTGCATCTGATATTTTTGTTAAAATGTGTCCCATTCGCAGCAATGTGCAGTTTCTGTTATTAATCATTGGTACCATTATGTGTCTCATTCTCTTTTTCTGACTGTTTTGGAGTATTTTAGACTGACTTTGCATTATAGTTGACATTGTTGTTAGAGCATTCACTTCCGTTTCCTTATATTTTAGAAACTTCAAAAACAATTTCACAGCTGAATGTCATTTCTGACATTTACGAATATGCATAATCATTTTGTAGACAAACTTGTTATAAGCATGATGGTGCTAAAGCAAGGAAGATTAGCGTTGAGGTTTTGTAGAGCAATTGAATTGATAAAAAGATTAACCAATTCAGAGTGCAGTCAAAAGTTTTAATCATGTAGGGTGCTATATATTGATATTGCAGATCCTGCTTAATTTTGTCCGTTTCCTTTTCATTTTATAACTTCTGAAAACCCTTTCACCTCCAAAAATTTCAAGTGGTCTGTAGTTGCATTTTAGGCTTGCGGGTTAATCATGGTTGACTAAGTTTTTTTCTATAGGGTGTTGGGGAGAAGGGATACTGCTAGGAACATTCCATCTTCATATTTTGTTGTCGTGGTTTAGATTTTTTTAATTTTTTTTTATATTTTTAATTTTAAATTGTTCGGAAGTAATGTTATCATCTTAATTACCAAAAAAAAAAAAAAAAAAAGAAGTAATGTTATCATCTTTCCTGCCCTTGATTTTTCTGCTGTTTCACCAAGCCTTCTTTTTGTCCATGAATATCCTTTTCAGTTTCACTACTTCATTCAATGTTTAATAAATAGCATTCAAAAATATAAATTCAATCTTTGAGTACTTTTTGGAAACCAGTGTTGGATGTATAAAGATCTATTGAATTTGATTATTTTCTGTATACAATTTATATGATTTTTTTTTTCTTTCAAAAAGATAGATTTCCTTTAAATTACAAATGTGAAGTGCCCAATTCCCAAAATTACAAACCCAAATTTGATGAAAATGTTTGATTGAAGAGAATGTAAATAGTCACTCTGTTAGTGTGGTTGTTGAAGGACTTGTAATTATTTAATACCTCTTGAGGAGTGTGCCAATTTATGAGTTCTGTTGCAAGTTCATATCTCTGTTTGCAACTGGATAGTGGAGACTCATTATCACACAACTCCAACATATAACTGGAGCTTTTACATGGACTTTGCTTTTGCAAATGCTTATGTTTTCCTTATCTTCCATGCTATTTCCTGTTTCTTAAATTCCATGATTACCTTACTGCTTAGAAGCTCTATTGACCCAACTTCTTATGTATTGCCCATTGATATTATTAATTCTTTCTGTTCAAGGCCACTGTTGTCAGTTCAATTGATTCAATTTAGGAACTTTTTCGCAAATATCTTACCTGCATGGTGGTTTATTCCTGCCTCCGAGACTGCCTCCAAACACATTGGAGGGAAAAACATAGTCCAGAGGGGTTGTCATATAGTAGAGATCTCAAATTCAATTCCTTCTCCTCTCTTTCTATTTAAAAGCCTTGAAAGGGCAAATATGGTTTTCAGTGCTATTAGTAGTCACAGAATCCCGTCTGTTGATAGTTTTGATCATCACATTTTCTTTCAGAGTTTGACACCTGCCCTTTTTACCAAAAATCTTGAATTACTTGTTCCCTTTGTACCAAGTATTTTGTGAGTGTTAATGATTATTTCAACATCAAGGTTGTATTTCTCATGATAATCTATCTTTTTGCAGATTACGTTGATTCCATCATCCATTCTCCGTAACCGGAGCAGCAGTCAATGTTAACAGAGTGGCTAAATTCATTGGAAACAAGATTTTGGCTGTCAAACAAATTATCTGGATGCTTATTGAGAAGCCAATGCTCATATCTTTTTGTCATGATTTGGCAACTGATGATGGCGGCCTATAACAAATGAGTAATTTTGGAGGGTTGTAAAAGCAACTAGTTGGTAGAAGTCCTGCATTCTATTGTCTTCTGAATCAATCAATAAATTATCCCCAGATGCAAACATCACCGGAACATCAGGATTCAGGTGGTATTCACAGGTTGTACCATCAGTCTATGCAGCAAATTGAACCATTCTGCTTGTCTCCTTTCCAAATTTTAAACAACAATGAATCTGCCGATAATAGCAGCCAAGGGACTCAAGTTTCTTTCCAAACTTACAATGAACAGTTCTTCACCCTGGATTCATCCCCGGCAAATGCTTACATGGTACAAGATTCCCCTTCTGCTCTAAGCATCTCATCTAACAGGAGCCCCTTTTCACCGCAAGGTTCTCAATCATACTTGTCAGATCCGCATCAGTCCCCCGACTATACTTATGGATCACCGGTTAGTGGGTCTTCTTTTGTCGATGATAGCAGTGAACTGAGACACATATTAAGAGACTTGGAAACCAAATTGCTGGGGCCTGAATCTGATGTTGATGACAACTGGAGTTCCTCCTGCAATGGTGCAGTCCACCAAGCCTCTTCCCTAGCAAGGTCAAATCAAATGTTGGAAATGAACCGTAGCTCAGACTTGAAACAAGTGCTCGTTGCCTGTGCAGAGGCAGTATCAAATGGTGATAGATTAACTGCAGAAAATTTGATGCGTAGGTTAGAAAGTATGGTTTCAGTTGTTGGGGAACCTATCCAACGGTTAGGTGCATACTTGTTGGAAGGCCTTAGAGCAAGGCTGTTGTCGTCAGGAAGTGTAATATACAAAAAACTGAAGTGCAAAGAACCAACTGGCTCAGAACTGATGTCTTACATGTCTGTCCTCTATCAGATCTGCCCATATTGGAAGTTTGCTTACAAGTCTGCCAATGTTGTTATTGAAGAAGCCATGATAAATGAACCCAGAATTCACATAATAGATTTTCAGATAGCACAGGGCAGCCAGTGGGAGTTTCTCATCCCTGCTCTTGCCGTTCGCCGTGGTGGACCTCCGTATATTCGCATTACGGGCATTGATGATTCCCAATCAGCTTATGCTCGAGGTGGAGGACTTCACATGGTGGGGCAGAAGCTATCAAAGGTTGCTGAGTCATACGGAGTGCCGTTTGAATTCCATGGTGCAGCCATGTCAGGATGTGAGGTCGAGCGAGAACATCTTGGGGTTCGACATGGAGAGGCGCTGGCAGTGAATTTTCCTTATGTGTTGCACCACATACCGGACGAGAGTGTGAACACTATGAATCATCGAGACCGGCTACTAAGGCTGGTTAAGAGCTTGTCACCCAAGGTTGTTACCATTGTTGAGCAAGAATCCAATACTAATACTGGCACATTCTTTCAACGGTTTTATGAGACCCTGGATTATTATACAGCTATGTTTGAATCAATTGATGCTGGTCGCCCAATTAGGGATGACAAGCAGCGGGTCAGTGCGGAGGAGCACTGTGTGGCTCGAGATATCGTGAACATAATAGCATGTGAGGGGGCCGAGCGGGTGGAAAGGCATGAACCTTTTGGGAAGTGGAGGTCTCGACTTGGAATGGCGGGGTTTGAGCCTTACCCCTTTAGTTCCTCAGTGGGTGATGCCGTCCAGGATGTGTTAAAGGTCTATAACGATAACTATAGAACTGAAGAGAGGGATGGGGTTCTTTATCTTGGGTGGAAGAAAAGAGCTTTGTCAACCTCTTCAGCATGGAGGTGATGATAATCTTATTAGTGGTTACAGCATAAAATTTGTAAATTTTTCCTTCTGTTTGTTAGATACGAACTTTTCTAAGTTTGAGTGACACGCTTATTTTGTACCTTTATAGATGAACTCTCTGTGCTGCAACTCCTCGTGCAGAACTCGAACTTGAGTCTTCTAGCGTTCTTTGAATCTTCTAGCTTTCTGTACATGCCTGATTAGGAATGAAATTAATGAGTTCTGAGTTAGACTTCATCTGATCTGTTTCACTCCTTGCCAAGTCATGAAGTATCCTAGTAGTCATTATGTAGGTTCGCTCATGAAAAATGTGCGCTAGGTAGACTCTTGTTGTACTCTTATGGTCATGCTATAGATTTTTTCATGAAATTTTTTCCCACCAGGTATTCTCTTGTACTCTTATGGTTTTCTACAAGGCATTTTCATGAAAAATGTTCTCACTGGGTGGACTCTACTCTTTTGCATCGGTCATGTAGGTGACTCATCTTTTCTGAGGATAAATTCATGAAATATCTTCTCAGATTTGTGTTCAATTTTTCATTTTTTTTTTCCCCAGAATAAGTTCTGGTTGTTGCAGTTGAAATGAAAACCAAATTGAATTAGCTTGGATTTCACTAAAATGAAATTTGATGATCATGGTTCTTTTTATATAAGACTTGAGACTTCCTCAAATCTTGATTATCTATTCCAAAATGCAACAGCCTACAGGGCACTTCATCACACTTGATGATGGACATTTGCATTGGCCTGCAGCTGGAAAACGTATTTGGTACCCCATTACACAGTTTATTCTAATACTGAACCAGAAACATAACTACTACCATATACGAGTGCTAAAGAAGGGGCTATGACTTCTCTCACCAGGAGCCAGCCATCAGAGGCTGTACCTTCTTGGGAAAACCTTGACCCCAAGAAACTCGGATTGCTTCTCTGGGAGCGGATCGCAACATGACCTGTTTCTATCTATAAAATCAACTACGAGATCTTATGGTTGCGTAACCTTGTTCATAGTGAAACAAGCTGCCTGAGTGAACTCTTACTGGAGAGGAAGACCAAAAAAGTAACCTGCAAGAAGTCTCAGTTGTATCAAGAAATTATGAACAATTAGCTATAACTGCAGGCATGGTTTTGAACAAACTTCCAATGAACGGGATTCTGACACCTCAAAAAGATGAAATTTATACTGAATATAGCTTTGGCTTCACATGATCTGAAAACTAAAAAGTACATTGTTTGTCTTTGTTCAGAAAAATCCTTCTGTGACCCCTATACTAATTTCATATTTGTATGCACTATGCAACTTGTAAGTTTACAGAGGTTAACAAAGAAAGATATATATATATATATATATATAAAGCAAAAGCCAGTTGTACATGTAAGCAGACTGTTGCAGTCATGCAGAAGGCAGTTAACGACAATTCTCCAAAACCCTGTTTAACAATTAGCAGCTTCAGGCTTCAGCAATATATAGCTGCATTTCGCGTAAATCATCTGGAAGGGAGCAATGATAACAATTTACGGACCCATCAGCAAGCTTCCCATGCTCTGTAGGTAAGGATTAGAAGAAAGGTTTAGATGTGGTGTATCAAAGCTAAATGTTTCACCCTGCTTTTCCCCAACTTCATACTGATTCACAGTAATATATGATGAAACTGGGGTTGTGTGTGTTGCCATACAACAATCAGGACTAGTGACATCGATTAGGGTCTGCTCATGTTCAGCCTTGGTTTGTGGCATCTTGTTTGATCCATCTTCAGGACTCAAGCTGATCCCAACACCAAGATCAAGGCTTATTGCATCATTTCCTTCTAATATCGTTCCTTGAACGGGTTCCATAGATGGCATACATGTACCGGCTCCAGCTGTAACATGGCTACTAGTCCGTCCAGCAGGTACATCATGGTTATGTTTTCCCTCATATGTGGTTATTACAGCTCTTGGATCATGTGATGCCCTTTCCACATGTTTCCTGACTTGGCATCCAACATTCGTGCACTTGTAGTAACTCCTATATAGCAAAGAGTAATAATAATTATTGTACTTGTATCTCTCTCCTTAAAGATGAAAAGGCAACTTGAAATACGGAAGATAAATGAAATACGGTGTCATGTGACCACCACTATATAAATCATGGCTGGTGTCTTACTTTTACTGGACAAAAGAATATGGGATAAAGTTGCCATTCAGCATTTTTATGTGCTAAATCAGACATAGAAGGTTAGATGATTTAGCTAAAGTACAAACCACGTTAAAAATAAATTCTATCTATCTACAGGATAACAGAACACTTCCAAATGTTTTCTTTTCATTCACTGTAAAGGTTTTGGAGGGAGACGGATTCACAGTCACACCTTACCCGCCGGGGGGGGGGGGGGGGGGGGGGCGGGGAGAGAATGTGCTTCAACTGTTTGAAGCCTGCATGTAGGTGTTCTGAGATATGGATCAAAAACGAAATAGTATACATTGCATATTTAATTTGATATTCTGTTCTCCAACCACGAGCTAAGCAATAATAAATGCACATAAACATATTTGCACATTGTAGAACATTACCCCCCAATGCACTCACGAGCAGGCACACTTGACATGCATGATAATAAATAAAAATATTCATTAAGATCCCAAGGTATACTTCTGCATCTATGAATTCCCATATGCAATTCTATGCCATTTACAGGAGGAGGTGTACTTAACCCTATAAAACCTTTACCCAATTATTAGAGATGTCTAAATAAATTCTTCTTTGCCTGCAGCCATATCTTCAATTAAACAACACACCATCATGTCCTTCCTTACAATCTCAACCCATGTTAGACAGTAACTGAAGTCTACAATCATGGACAAGTTTACTCCTACTAGAATAAGTGTTAAAGAACTAATATAGCAACACCGTCCTTTTCACAGTGGTGCTTCTTTCAGAAACAGTCAAATATGTAATGTAAAACCTGGCAGAGCAGATTCACCGGTTTGCACAACAAATTTTCCTATCTTTTTCCTTTTCTCCTTGTGAACCAGTAGCCAATTGTCAACTGGCAGATGTCCTGGCAGACAATTTCAAACTACTGTGGCTGCTTTTGATATAACAATGCACCTATTTTTATGTCCATCATTAAGTGTAAGGTCATCCGATAGAGTTATCATAGTTGGAAGCAAAAAAAAAGAGTTCTTGTACTTCTTCCAAAGCACATTATTCATATCTAAAAGACACCACAGGATGAAAAGTAGAACAATACTACAATCATCTTCATAAGTGATTATTCTAATTCATAGGACTATATTTCCTGTCACAAATCCACTCAAAGTACTAATTCTCCTTTGACAAACATGGATTACCTCACTTCAAATTTGCCTTATTAAAATTTACTTGAAGAGGTATGCATGGAGCAACAGCCTGGCTTGGTCAATTGGAAGTAGCCTAAAAATGACAAAAGCTAGAAAATCCGCGGCCGCAGAAATATATTTATGCCTGGTTTTAGGAACTAACAATAGGTTAAGGTTGTCAATAGGCTAAAGAAATATAAATATAGAGGGGTTACTTTCTTGCTTCACTTACACGCTACAAAGCTAATAGGAGCAAGTTGATAAGCTAAAGAAATACATATATAGGGGGCTTACTTACTCCCTTCGCTTACAGAGCTAATGAGAGCAGATATATTTATGCATATGCTGACGACATCTTACATGCTAGTGAAAACAGAAATTAGAAACTTGAGCTTCTTCAGCACCATATACAATACACAAAACAGTAGCAGGTGCTAAAGCAAGTTCAGGAGCAGGAGGGTTGGGATGTATTTTTTGTCCTTGAGAATTTTGAAGGTCAGGGACATAAGAGAAGTACATAAAATAAACGCATCAGTGCCCCCAAAAACTCAAATGTATGTTTTCATGCGTGTTTGTCTGAATTGGCACATAAGGTTTACTGAATCATGACTATGGTACAGCTCTACCTACTTCTTAATACTGCTAGCTTATGTGGAAAGTTGATTCATTTTCACTTTCAACACAGTACGAATTCCAAATAACACTCTGGTTGTTGGTGCCAGCACATTTTTCATGACATCATCCCCATGCCTGGAGAAACAATTTACATGTTTCTTTGTATAAGTGTCACATGTCAATTGGTCTTAGGATAAGAATCAAAGGTGGAAGAAAAACAGTCAGGCTCATGATTTTTTCCCATAAAACAGCTATAACATGAAAATTTTAATGCACCATACCTCGGGTTAGGATTGCCTTTCACCACTTTCTGCCCATATTTACGCCAGCGATACCCATCATCTAGTATATCAACCTCACTGATAGTTTGAACAACTACACGTGGATCTCGAGTTGGCGTAATCAATGGAACTAGATTTACACAACCAAAATCTTGCTTCCTGCTTAATTTTTTTACCCAGATGTCAATGAATTAGAAGAAAGATACACATGTTAACATAAACATTTGTCAATTGTTCAAAATGAAGTACCTGCGCTTTGATTCTGGATCATCATCGTCATTGTTATCATCATTACCATGCTCATCATCACTTGTAACTGGAGGAAGCTCATCTCGTTCAAAGTGATAAGATGTCTGGCCATGTGCATTGGAAGTCTTGCCTTCAAATATGACAATGGACCAAAGAAAATCAAGCAATCTACCAATAGAAGTATCAAACAGAAATTATCAGTGAAGTTCAAGCCTACCTTCCGAGCTTGTTAAACTAGAATTTTTTTCTAGATTTTCCTCATGGATGGACAGTGCAGTCCCAACTGCATATCGACGTTTAGGTTGAGGTTTTGGATGATCATGCCTACCCTTATAAATAATCTCGGTAATCTTTCCATCAAGAGAGCTTTCCAGGAGCTTCTTCACTTGGCAGTTAGGATATGTACATTTGTAGTAGCTCCGGGGGAATTCACTACCTTTAACATGTTTCTGACCATACTTTCGCCAGTTATAGCCATCTTCTGAAGATTTCTCTCCAGTGACTGAAGGACCAGCTTCTTTTTGTTCTTGTTCAAATGCTTGAACCTCAAAATCAGTATCCTTGCTCTGCTGCAAGTTGCCAGAGTCAATATCAGCAGGTGGAGGAGAGTTTGAAGTAAACAAGTCAACTGCTGGATGTGGAGCGTCAACAGAGAGAGCCAAGTCACGTGAGGAGACTGCTGCCTGCTCACTTGTAAATAAAGCTGATGATGCAAATGATTTAGGCTGGCTCTGATCTTGGGCTCCCACAAATGGTTCATATTGCTGGAAATTTGAACCTGCAGAAGCCTTGCAAACAGTTAAAAAAAAAAAAAAAAAATTAGATAAGCAGTACTCAAAGGTGCAATCTTGGCATATTGCATGCACAAATTATAATGAAATAAATAACCTAAAGTTCACAAGTTAGAAATGAAATTTGAGTAAAATGCACTTCAAATTCTCATAGAATCATATGCATATTTCTTCTTCATCTGTTTACGTAAAATGAAATCAACTCAACTAACAAATCTTAATCTTGAGTACCTATAGTCACCAATTAAAGTGAAACGCCTCATATGATAGATCTAAGTTGTGGCCGGCCAAATGATGATATCAAATTGAAAAATAAAAGCAACAGGAAGTCACCTATCGCTGTATTACTTGCCAAATTTAAGTCAATTTTAAAAAAGCAAAAAACCTGGAAGGCTGAAAAAAAAAACCTACTGTGCCAATACCATTCACATACAAGAGTATCCATGACTTAAAAGTAGCTCATGCATTACTGAAAACTAGAGTTTTGCAATGAATGTATATGAATACAGAAACTAGAGTTCGCACTACAAGTAGGGAGACTAGTGATTTTTCTATAAACATAGGATCGCACCAAGGATCAGTACTAAGCGCATATCTACTCACAATTATTTTAGATGAAATTACAATAGATGAAATAACGAAGGACTTATAAGGAGACATTCGCCGATAACATATCTATATTGAATACTTCGAAAGAACATTTAGCAATAAAATTAAGATGTGGAGAGATGCATAATAATGAAAAAGTTTAAAAAATTAATACGACAAAACTGATAATAAATTTAGTAAAGAGTTGGATATTGATAATATAATGATCACACTTCAAAACCAAAGGATTATCCAAAATAACCATTTTGATACTTAGGATCAATAATATAAAAGGATGGTGAGATAGACGGTGATACAATTAGTAGAATTGGATCAGGTTGGACAAAATGGAGAGGCGCTGGTGGTGTTTTATGCGATACAGAATAACAAACAAGTTAAAAGGAAAAATTTTTAGAACAGTTATTAGGCCAACTATTTCATATGCAGCAAAGTGTTATGCTTTATAAAAGAAGCAAGAACAATGCATTCATGTAACTGAAATGATTATGTTAAGATGAAAGGTAGGAGTGACTAGAAGAGACAGGGTCACTTATCAAAGTGTGAGGCATAAATTAGAAGTGACGCCTAAAAAAAGAATGAAAAAGAAAATCATGAGGCCAACCCCATTCATATGCTATTGACGACAACGACGATGACATTATTGAAAACTATTAACAGCAATTAGCACAGTGAAGTTGCAATTAGTAGAAAGTAGAAAAGCTCTTTTAGTTGGTTTGTCCAGATTTGCACCTTCATCCAATTTCTTGGTGCATGCAAACAACCATCAGTAGAAAGGCCATTTCCCAATGATGGTCATGTCAGTTTGGGATGCTATAGGAGTAGACTAAATGCAGAGGTGACCTATATGTTGTCGTGTCATGAAGAAATATCTATTACAAAATAGAGTGCAAGATATTGAGCACCAATCTCGGCACACTCAGGAAAGAGATGTCCCTCGAAACAGCAGTCTTAAATTTTTTGAATTACACAGATGTTTCTGAAATTATCAACAGATGGATTGGTTACATATACGGGCTGCATTGATGGTAATTATCGCTGTCAGGGTGAACTCCAGGAAAGTGCACGTCCAAATTTTTATTTATTTTTTTTAATAAAAATTTCAGGCAACTCAATTGCGAAGAACAACATGCACTATGGTGCCAGGAATGACTCTAAGGGAAACTGCCCATTATTATTATTTTTATCTATTTAATTTTGGGTTACTCCACAAGGGCTAAGCAAGCTATTGAGTCAGTGTCCCAGGTCATATTGAGTGTCTAGGCCGAGCATTTTATTCTTTTCCCATTGCACAGACTATATATTTATTCATCTTGTATTGATTATTCCATTCTAACTGCAACTTTGTGTTCTCTGGTCTTTTTATTTACAGTACTTGATATCTGTGAACTTTGATTCTTCACCACTTGTTCTATAATTATTAGTTATCTTGCCGCAAGTAGACATTTTCTCCAGTTAAATGGAGATATATAAATATGTGTGTATATATATATATATATATATATATATATATATATATATATATATATATTATTAATATACATTTTATTCAGTACCATAATAATTTTAACAAGATAACTGATTCCGGGGATGTAGATGGTTAATGCTTATTATTTTCTAATGAGCTGTTGAGTTCATTCTTAGTACATTTCTAGATTATAGGGATCTTACCTGAGAGATATAGGATTGCTTGGTGGCTTACCTAGTCTAATGAGAGTATAGTTATTAAACTCAGATGTAGAATACCTAAAAGTTCATCTTTTGGGTTGCCTAACTAACTAAAACAGTTAGATAAAAGTCTCATCATGTTGAATAATAGAGTGAGATGGAAGGGTTTGCAAAATTGGGTTTATTGGCGTATGGTAATTGAATAACTAATTTGTGTCCTATTTATTAATTAAGGAAATTGGGACATAACAACTCTACGGCGGTAAACGGATGCCAAAGGATATGTAAGTGAGATTATAAGGATACCAATATCTAAAATGCTGTCCATGCGACTGATTTTATAGTGACATAAAGACACTGAACCAACCATACGGATGAGTTGTGGTTAGGGGTGAAATGCCACTCGAACCCAGAGCTAGTTGGTTCTCCCCGAAATGCGTTGAGGCGCAGCAGTTGAGTCCCACAGCTTCATTCTCCCTCTCGTCATTTGAAGGATTTGTAGGTTCATTGATCAGGGCTTGACAGAAGAACTTTATAAGTTTCCAAAAATTGAAGATACAGATTGAGAAATTGAATTTCTAAAGAGGAATTAGTTTGAGAGTAGAAGTAGATCATGGATGTCTAGTAAATAAATGACACAAACACACTTCTATACCCAAGTTAACAACCAGTAAATTAGCTTTCATAATTATTTGACACAAATTACCAAAAAGGATAATGCATGCTCCCAACAACATTAATTTTACTTCCATCAATATTAGATACTGAATCACAGGGAATCCAGCATTTTTTTACTTTCGATAATTTTATTTGATTTTTCCTTTTCATAAGTACTCCAGAACAATTTTACTCTCAACTAGACCTAATGCCATTGATAGTCCTGAGCTCTGAAATTTCACAATAGTCAACACATGAATAAAGGTTAATGTGCCTTCTAGCAGTTCCCATTTTCTATATAGATTCTTTATCCAATATCGACCACTATTTCAAGGTATATTAAAATATAGGATAGTAATTTAATTTTTAAACAGTCAGGCCACACAAACCGTTCCACAGAATAAACATCTCTCTGTAAAATATTAACAACTCGGGCAGAGTTGCCGCAGAAACATTCAGAAAATATCAAAAATTTATTCTGATACTGTTTTTGCGTTGAAACATTGAAGTAGATCAAATGTGATCTTTAAGAACATTAAAACATATTGGCAAAGTAAATAATAATAATAATTTAAGATGTGTAATAGTCAATAAATTATTATCAAGAAATTATTAAAAAAAAAAAAAAAATTATCAAGAAATTACCAGAGGGCCTAATGAAGATAAGCCTGATCTTGATCCCGGTCTATCGTGGTGTCTAAACTTGGAGTTCCCAATGTTTCTTTCATCACAGGTGTTGCTGCTGAAGCTTTCTATAGTTGACATGAGAGTGGCTGAACCAACAATTTCCTGCACTTCAAGAGACTTTATCATGGAACCTGTAGTTGGGGAAGGCTCCACCTGCAAAACCGAAAGCTTTTCACTTACAACCTCAGACCTAATTAATACATGTAACTTAAACTCTTTTCTTCAGAACGCAGAGAACTAGATAACAATACAATATCTGCTAGTCATCCAAAATAAGTAATCAAACACATAAAATGCCAACTCCAAATCACAGCAAAAGAGATTGAACCCAATCAAGAGAATTCCAAAAGCTAACCAGTATCCGTACATTTGCTTCCTTCTCCTCCATCTCATAATAACATTTCTCCTACAAGCTATTATGCCACATGTATCTCAACACTTCAACAAGAACTTCTTTTTACAAATGAAAAGGCCACGGAACAACAATAAATAAGATATTTTCTATGAAAAAACATCACTTGCATTAAAATATAAAGAAAAAAAGCAACGACTCAATGGAAGGACAGATTCAAAGAACTAATCATCAAATAATTTTACCCAAAATAAAAAGTAATTACCAAACTACGATACTTTATGAACATCAAAAACTTACTATACCAGCATAAAAGCACCAATACAGAATAGTGTAAAGTGAGAGCATCAGAATCTAAGTCACTGCCTCAAGCACATATGCACCAACCTTTTTCTCCACTTAATTTTACAAAAATCATATTACAAAATCATTCACCACTGCCGTCAATTTCCAACATGACGACATAGGTGCTAAAAAGTAAGATCACTTTTGGTAAATCATTTTGTGTTTGTATATATATAATTACTTAGATAATTTGAAGAGCTGGAGCTAATTTCTTGGGTCCACAATTCTCTACTAAACAGTGAACCAAAGAAAATGATAAATCCACTGGAATGTCAGGAATTTGATTCTATTGACACATATTGATTGAATTTTTTACCAATTACATTAATTAAGCTAGAAATTTCCGGATAGAAATATTATAAGTAGATACACAAACAAGTACACACAAACAGCCTCTCGATTGTGACCTTGAGGTCATGGTTTCGAATAACGGAAACAGCCGCTCTGCATGCGGGGGTAAGGCGGCCTATATCTGACCCTCCCCAAACCCCACATTGGTGGAGCCGTGCACGCTGGGCTAGCCCTAGATACACAAGTACACATGTGCATGCATTTGTTTATGATCAATTCACTCAAAAAATTAGAAATTTATTTCTGTTGACACATATTGAATGAATTTGTTACCAATTACATCAATTAAGCTATAAATTTCCAGATAGAAATATTATAAGTAGATACACAAGTTCACACATATGCATTTGTTTATTTATGTATATATATAACTACTATATAGGAAATTTTTGATAGTATATTCAAAGAGTAACTGACCTTAATGTCAGAGAGAAGAATTGGGGACTCGAGCAACGACGAGGGGCTGAGACCAGGAGGGATCGTGATACACGACGAGCGCGAGATCGGAAGTTTCGCCGGAGACATGAGTTTATACCTCGAGACATTGGAGCCGACGCCGGACGAGCCTCTGGCATCGGAACTCATGGCAGATGCGGTTTTTCTCTGATCCTGGCCGTTCGATGAGTTGACCGAGTGGTTGATCACACGGTCAGTGTGGTTTGAGTGATCTAATTGAGTCGTCGGAGCTATGGAGACCTCTTGGTGATGTGTTGACTGTGAATTTGAGTTTCGGAGTTCACATTGTTGGCCATGATCGTGCTTCAGAGTAGCTGTGTGTGTGAATGAAGGAGGTGGTGGTAGACGAGAGGTTTGTCTGATGTTTGTGAGGGTATTTTAGGAATTTCACTTGTTGCAAACCACGTGTTCCTTTCCGCCGCAGTCAGTGGGACAGTGGTGGGCTGTCTTCTTGCTTCCACAATTTGACTGTAACGTCCCACGGTAAAATGATAAGATGGAGTATTATTTGTTAACAAAACACGGGTAAATTAGAGTCAACGATATTTTAAATTACACTTACCTTTGAAATTTGTATTTAGATAACACATATCTTAATGGTTAACAAATTTTATCCTTAAAAGACATGTTTATTAGAATATAAACATAATTACAAATTCTACAAACCTAATAAAAAATGCGAGTACATGAACTCGAGACATTTACAAGACGAAAATGTAACAATCGAACAAATAAATAAAAAATATATTATATCATCTAAATGTTGTGTGTGTGTGTATATATATATTATTTGCAACCATAAATTATTTAATTGTAATTTAGAAGTTGTGAATTCTAAAGATTGCAAGTCTTGTACGCTAAACTAGGTTTTTTTTTTTTTTGGCTATATATCATCCTTACATAATGTTGATAAAGAATTAATTTCTTAACATATTCAACATAAATTTATTTAGGAAAAAAATTAAATATAAGCATACACTTAAAATTTATATGTATATATTCATTCATTAATAATTATAAATCTTAAAAATTTGGAATAAGAATGGAAAGAAAAAAATGATGATAAAATAATAATGAATATTAACAAATTGAAAGAGATTTGGGATTTGAATGATTTTTATTTTTATTTTATTTTTTCCCAAATAGGTTACTCCTGTAATTAGAATGCATCCAAGGTCGGCAGGAATGATTGTAAATCTCTATTAATAAAGGAGATTCTTAATAGGAGTAGTTGAGTGAATACTTTAAAGTGGATTAATTAAACTTTGTAACATTTACCTAATCACATGGAGTTTTTAAAGTCAAAAAACTAAAAATGATGATAACCGCACGATTAGTTGACTTTTAAAGTAAAAAATTGGACTCTTCCTATTGACAGTCAAATTACTATGATGGTGTTGTTAATTTTTCCACGTTGCCATCATTTGGGAGAGGGAGTCAGATTAAATTTTGTGTATCAAAAATTATAATTCACAATTTTTTTTTCTTTCCATTTTAAAGTAGAGTATCAAATCTTGGATTGAATTCAAATAGTAGTGATGGACCATATATTTTTGTTATTCAAAAGCAGGCCCAAAATATTGGGTATGTTTTACAACTACTATATGGGCTAGGCTTTCAGGCTAACTAGTTGGTCACTTGGCACTTGGTATAATATATATGCTCACACATGTTATGTATGAACGGTTAAATATGCCCGTTACACATTGCAACGGGAACAATAAAGGCCTCGCTTGGATTGCATTTCAAAGAACAATTCTCAAGAACAGTTTTCAGTTTTTTCATATTTCAAACCTGCTTGGTTAAGAGAATTTACAAAACAGTTTCCGAAAAACAAAAACTACATATATATTTAAATAAGCGTTGAAGGTGAATTTATTTTAACTAGTATTCTTAACTTAATAAAAGTTGCACAAATACAATATATCAAGTTTAATTAAAATTTGACAAATTTAGATACAATAAAAGAGTTACATGAATTACTTCAAGTGTCATGTGCACTTTTAGTTGTACAAACATTAATATTAGTCATACATAAGCAAAACAAAATATTAGAGAATTACATAAATAGCTAATCAAAGCAAAATATTGGAGAATTATAAAAGCAACTTCATTTAGCATTGCCTCTGAATGATGCCCACATTTGATTCGTCAGATGAGTTCTAAGGGCTCCCATTTATGCTGCACCATCATCAAATAAATTAAATGCATTCAGTACACCAGCATTACTACTGTTACCATTCCCCCCATCAGCGACAATAACATCTTCTTCTCCATACTCCATAAAAAAACGATCATCTAATATATTTTCACGAATGAAATTGTGAATCGTGTAACAAGCAGTTATTATGAGCCGTTGTCTAACCAATTTATAATAAGGCATAAGCTTTAAAATGGGAAAACAAGCCTTTAGTACTCCAAAACAACTTTCAATGACATTGTGAAGTGATGAATGCCAATAGTTAAACAATTACTTTGCACCACGCGGTTGCCGATTGCTACCCCTTTAATCTTGTAGATGATATCTTTGAACACGATATGAAGGCAGAAATCCTTTTGTGCATGGGTAACCAGAATCAACTACATAGTATTTCCCTGCAAAAAATTATTTAAGTTTTATTAAGGTTAGTAGCATGGTATTATTAATATTAAAAAGACAAAAGTAATAGTAATACCATCAGCTGGTATCGGGAATCGTGCAGCAGCTCTAGTAATTGCATCAATAAAAACTCTCAAGTTATTTGTCGTTCCCTCCCAACTCGCGTAAACGAAAGTAAATAGCATATCAAATGAGTAAGCACACATGACATTTTGTGTCACTACAGACTTTCTTCCTCTATAAGGAGTTTGTTTGCTGGCAGGTGCAAAAGCACTTATATGTGTTCCATTAATTGCTCAAATGCAATTCTTAAACCAAGGATAGTACTTAGGATTATGAAGTATATGAGAAGGCACATCATTGCTTTGTGGTGGACGTATGAGAAATTTCCCAAGGTGACATATTGCTCTTAATACGAGCTTAAAATGTCTAGAAACTGTTTCGCCAAAATGTTGAAATCGTTCAGCTACTACTGCATGACGAATATTATGTCCTATAATGAACAAAAACATTGCCACTGGCTACTCGATTGAAATTATATATATGTCTTCTAACAATGATGTGCCTTCTCATATACTTGATTTCTATTGTAATTGTAATTCATTTGATAACATTATTAGTAGCTGTAATCTCAATTCATTTATTATTCCATACGTAATCTCTACACTATATGAGACTTCCGTTAGATTATAAAAGTACTATTATATCTCATCGTTAAAAAAATTATCATGGATTCGTCCACTGACTTAGTTACTGTGTATAGATAAGTTGTTCACTAGTCACTTTACTCCTAAACCTTCTCGCAACATATAGGACATTTATGCCCATGCTAAAATATAACTTTTAATCCATAAATTTTTTAGAGAAAGAGGAGTACTGGTGGAGAGGCGATGGAGGTAGAGATGGTGGATGGTGGTGGAGAGACGGTGATGCTGGCCGTGGTGGAGATGGGTGGTCGTGGATGATGGAAATGGTTGCGGGGGAAGAAAAAAAATATTTATTTTATTCTTGCATGTGTATATAATGTTGGTGCTAAAAAAAAAAATTTGAGTGAGTCTCTCCCTCGGGCACGCACATACACATTCATTTTCAACCTACACTCGATTTTACATCACTTATCATCTGCCTTTAAAATTTTCGATGAGCTGCAGGCTGCAGCAACAATTTTCAACCAAAGAACACTTACACATTTTTTAAGTATTGATATTTTTTTTGTAAACTTGTGATGAATGTAGATATATTTTGTTAGAGGGGATGGTAGTCTCGTGAGTTGCATAATACGGAATGATATAACCAATTTTGAAGGGGTAAGATAGGATCAACTCGTTCTTTTTATTTATTTTTTGCCCGTTTCTAGATTCGAATTCATTTTTCTTTTTTTGAAGATTGAAGGTTGCACCATTAGGCTGGATGACCATTGTAAAGGAGATTGTTAATAGGTGAATAAATAGATTATACAGTAGTGGATTAATTAAACTTTGTAACAAGTTCATAACTTTTGACATCAGATTAAATTTTGTGGATTGAAAGTAAACTTTGATAATTAGAAGCCAATCAAACAAAGTCTAAAATAGGAGTACTAAAATAATCAAGATTTCATCTTATCGAAGGTTGTTGATATTGGCGCTCCACAAATCTTTTTTGTTATAAATTAAATTACTAAAATGTTCTTAAGTCACAATATTTAGTTGTTGTATTTTTTGATCTCCTAATTGCGTATTTTGCTATTTAGGGAATCTCTCACGTTCTTCTGCTAATTGAGATTGTGCTTGGACTTTTATTTTTATTTTTTGGTTTTTCTTCGGCATTTATATAGTATAGATGCATTTTTTAATTAGAGAGAGTATTACACAGAAGAAGTTTGCCATATCCACATGTTTGTAGTGTTGTTATTGGTGAATGTAAACAGTTGTGTCCCAGGAGACAAAGGGCACAGAGTCCGTTAACACCATGCAGAAGGTAAATTATCTTAAGAATATAATATCCAATACTAGCCTTGCTCTAGGTTTATTATTATTATTTTATTACTTGAATTTGAATGTTTAATTAAATATCAAGTTGCATATTTAATTAGTTACTTTTTAGCATATTATTAATTATCTCATGTCATATTCGTATAATATTTATTATATCTTAAATGTCATTTGAAACATATATTTTTTAACAATCAAATTGAAGAAATCAAGATCCGGCGGGCTTGTATTATTCAAAGCTCAGAGTTCCCTGAAATTCGTCAAAATTCCTCTTCCCACTTCCCCAGCCGGTGGTCGCGTCATTCGAGAGACCGCTGACCAAGTTTGGCGTTGGCTATGACAGAGAGAACCAAGTAAGTTCTGAATTATACTAGATATACATATTATATATATATAATGTGGAGTTGTCAGGTACATAATTGGTGATCTTGGAAACTTGAAGTGGATGAAAAAATTGAGATGCATATAAGTTGAAAGAGTGGTGGTTATGAGGGATGTGTTCCCGGAGGAGAGGAAGAACGTGAGGGTGTATATTATTGTGATTCAGAACTTTGGTATAATTTCACTTTATTAAGATAAAAGAGTGGAACACCTTGAGTATATATGTGGAACGCGAATATCAACAGCCTTATCAAATACTAAGTTCATTTTGTCAGGTCTATATTATAAATTTGCTTTCAAACTTAAAAATGCACTATTGAAAATTATAACTTAACAATACTTTTTTACTTTTAAAAGTAAAAGACCAATCTGGGAGTGAATTCAAGTA